CAGCTACAATGACGAAGTGGAAAGAGCGCATCGCCGAAGCAAAAACCGGGGGCTGGACCAAGCGGCTAATCTCCGACGTCGATATGTGGTGCGGGAAAAAAGGCGACCTGGACTTCCACACATCCCAGATCCTTTCTGGACACGGTTGTTTCGGGGTCTATCTCCACAAGATTAATAAGGAAGTATCTGACATGTGCCACCACTGCGACATGGGCCCAGATAGCGTGGTGCACACGGTAGTCGAATGCCCGGCCTGGGATGAAGAACGGCGTCAATTAGGACATGCGACGGTCAATATGGTCACAGTGGACAACCTTGTGCCCACCATGCTGGACTCTCCTGCGAACTGGCAGGCCGTCAAGGTTTTTGCCAGAGCGGTGATGTCAAAAAAAGAAGCTGACGATAGGGATAGAGAGAAACCAGGAGGGCCAAGGGCAAGGAGGAGAAATCGTACGTGACTCCAGAGCGGCGGTCGGGGACGGCTCGAGAAACCAGAATGCAAGGAAGTGCAGAAGACCTTAAGTTTACCTCTGTAGGCCTAAGGCCAACGCACCGGGTGGTTAGATGCCCCCGTATTTTGTAATAACTGTTAGATTTGATGTAAACTAGTTTGTAATTAATTTTTTTGTAACTGTCTAAATTAAGTTGTAATGTTCAATAAACGATGCGGTCAGGGGAGTAGCAATGCTCACGCAGTCCCTCCCCTGATGGCGATACCGTAAAAAAAAAAAAAAAGGTTAAGAGGGGAGGGGTAAGGTCGCGCACGTACGCGATAGGGTGGGCGGGGTAACTGGATTTCCTGGATTTGCGGGGGACCCAGAACCGACCAAAACATACTACTTCCCTTCCCTCCGAGTCATAACAAAACGCATTCAAACTATTTGTATACAGCAGACTGCTTGCTTTTGCTCTATTTTGAATGCGCATCGGTGTTAATGTAAAATTGTAAACTCTTGAATTAAGTTCTAAGTACAGTCTAGTAAAGCGTGTACCGTGTATTTACATTTTATTTATAAGTTCCTTCAATTATGTCAAAAAGAACATTTTTGAGCGGTTGTGAAAAACGAAAAATAAAATGTAAACGTCAGGAAGAAAATAAAAAATTGTCAAGTTCCTTACTTTGTTGGGCTAAAGGTAAGTTATTTTATAATCATATTTTTGTAATTTAAAATATTAAATGGCTGAGTTATTTCCTAAGTTATTACTAATCAAGAGTTTTAACCACTGACCAATTAAATATGAGTAGGTAGTTGACTTTAAATAATTATATAAAACAATTCAAAATTGTGTACCTACCTATGCTTTTTGTACAGTTTTATTCTGTGTTTTAACAATTTTGGGGATTTGTATACAATTATATTTCACAGATTAACAGTAATTTCAAGTATGTTTTACTACCTATTTTTACTGTGTTCACCTGTGTTTTTAAAATTCTTACTATACCTACCTATTTATTTTTAATTTTTAATATTCATCAACTAGTTCAGCCAGTTCAGGATGATGGACATACATTAACATCAAAATATAAAATTGATTACTGATTCTTTTTCAAAATTCTAACTAAATTACTCTTAAGTTACTTTTTATGAAGGGGAGTCAAATTATATTAGGTACTTTTGACAACTTAATTACAATAGCAAGATATAACCAAGGAAGATCAAGCTAGTCTTATCATTCGTTACACTGTTGTTGATTATGAAAAGAAGCATATAGAAATTAGAGAATCATTTTTAGGGTTTTTTTTTATTAAAAAAACACTGTGCTTCTGATTATGCTGAACTTTTGCAACATACTTTATTGGAATATCGATTAAATATAGAAAAATGTAGAGGTCAGGGATATGATGGAGCAGCTGTCATGAGTGGTGCTAACTCAGGTGTTCAAAAAAGAATTCTTGAAATAGTACCAAATGCCACATTTGTACATTGTTGCTCTCATAATTTAAATTTGGTCATAAGTGATGCTGCCAAAAGTACTAGAGAAATATCATCTTTTTTTGAAACTGTTCAAGATGTATACAATTTTTTTAGTTCCAGTGCACCGCGATGGTCTCAACTAGCTCTTGGAGAAGAAGAAAGTTCAAAATTAAGAAAAATAACATTAAAAAAGGTATGCGCTACGCGTTGGGAGGCGCGCCACAATGCATTATTTTCATTGAAACAGCGATTTGTAGATGTTTTAAAAGCTTTTACAAGAATTCAGTTAACTAGTACTAAAAAAGATGAAATTAATATAGCCACAGCTCTTAAAAAGAAACTTGAATTAGCAGAGTTTGTTTTACTTTTATGTATTTGGGAAAAAATATTGAAGTCTTTGTTTGTTGTTTCCAAAATTCTTCAATCTGTTTCTATAGATTTACAACAAGCATTTGAGCTGTTAAAAAATGCACATGCAGAAATTTCAAAACTAAGGGATGAGTATGATACATTTGTAGATAA